TGGCAGATAGCATACCTGTTTTTTCTTATCCCACTTTCATGGCAGACATTGCTAACCAATCAAGATATCTATCTGTCTTCTTTTGTACCATGGGAAACATTGTGAATTGATAAAGATATTCTTTCATGAGCCTCAGAATCTTTCTGTGTGTCCAGAGCTCCAGGCAGCCACTCCCAAGAGATAAGATTTAGCATTTAAGACGAAACCTTTTTGCCATCTTTGTTATAATGCTTATAGAGCAAAATTCTTGGCACAGAACTGCCTCTGTATAAATGTCAGTTACCATGCAGTCTCTGCTTAGTGCAGGGATTCTACCCATTATCCCCACTTCTGCTGACTCACCTCCAGGGACAGGGTGCTCACTGCTTCCTCGGGCTGGCCATCACTAGTCACTCAGGTTGCTGCCGGACAGTTCTGATGATTAGGAAGTTTTCAAATCTCCCTCCCTGTATTTCCCTTTCCTCATTCTATGGCAAAGTGCTCCCTTCTTTCCTGGGTGAGCTGCCATTATGGATGGAGGTGATTTATTTTTAGTTGATACATTTGAACCACCCAATAAGTAAAACCTTCTCTCAGCTTGCATATATGTGATCCCAGACTAGCTAAGCTAAGCAGCTTCAGCATTTGATGGACATGTTTGGGGAAGTATGTGAGTGTGTGTGAGTGTGTGTGTGTGTGTGTGTGTGTGTGTGTTAGAATGTGTGGGTGAGGGAGAGAGAGGAAAGAGAGAGTAAGAATATACTTTAAAGCCTCATAATGCACCAGGCCAATGTCACTCCTTATGTAAGACTAATAGCTTCTCTGAGGATTGGGGCTGCATCCAGGACCCCATCATTAGCTGATTAAGGCTGATTATTCCAAGGGGAGGGACAGTAAAGAGGGACATGAAGTTACATAACTCTCCATTTATTTTGATTTAACCCATGCTTCTAAATTTAGGATCTGGAAGACTGCCAAAGATGAATCCCTGGCATTCAGAGGTGGTGCTGGCCACATGGGGCCGGTGAGAGCCGGAGCCCACGGTACCCACAATTGAGATGGGGGATGTTTTTGCAGGGGGACAGTTCTGGGGCCTCGTCTCACAGTGCCTGAAGAACTTGTGTGGCCGGGCAGTGCTGCCCAGGACATTTCACACCCTGGAGCAGGTGCCTGTGCAATGAGGGTGGGAGGGAACAGTGGCGCAGAGGGTGGAGAGCATGGTGATGAGGTGAACTGGAATCCAATGTTCTGTTGGGCGGGTAGTTCTAGGAAAATCTGGGCAGTCGCGGTTACCCCTGGGACACAGCATGCGCTTGTGTGTGGTCCGGTGTGGCCACTTTCACATGGCTCTCTTTTCTGCTCGGCTCACAGCTCTCGCCTTCTAAATATTTTAGGCATGGGTGCGGAAAATCACTAGCCATTCGGGTTGTGCCCTGCACAAGGGCACCATATCTAAGTGAGCACCGCACATCGAAGACAGCATGGATTCACACGTATCTTTTTTTTTTTTTAAATATATTTTATTGATTTTTTTTGCCCCCCTCCCTCCCTCCCATACATACCCCCCTTCCCCAGAGTTTTATGTCCATTGGTTGTACTTATATGCATGTACACAAGTCCTTTGGTTGATCTCTTATCTCCCCCAGATCTTCCTCCCCTCCCCGCTGTAATTTGACAGCCTGCCTGTTGTTTTACTGTCTCTATATCTGTCTCTTGGTTCATCAATTTATAATGTTCTTTATCATCCACAAATGAGTGAGGTCATGTGGTGTTTCTCTTTCATTGATTGGCTTATTTCACTCAGCATGATGTTCTCCAATTCCATCCAGGTTGCTGCAAATAATGAGAATTCCTTCTTTTTTATGGCAGCATAGTATTCCATTGTGTAGATGTACCATAGTTTTTGGATCCAATCATCTGCTGACGGGCACCTAGGCTGTTTCCAAATTCTGGCTATTGTAGATTGTGCTGCTATGAACATAGGGGTGCATATATCCTTTCTGATTGGTGTTTCTAGTTTCTTGGGATATATTCCTAGAAGTGGGATTACTGGGTCAAATGGGAGTTCCATTTTCAGTTTTTTGAGGAAACTCCACACTGTTCTCCACAGTGGTTCACACGTATCTTGAAGATACGTTTTTATTATATTTTTTTATTATTATTTTATTGTTTTAAAAAATATATTTTATTGATTTTACACAGAGAGGAATTGAGAGGGATAGAGAGTTAGAAACGTCAATGAGAGAGAAACATCGACCAGCTGCCTCTTGCACAACCCCTACTGGGCATGTGCCCGCAACTCAGGTACATGCCTTGACCGGAATCAAACCAGGACCCTTCAGTCCCAGGCCGACACTCTTCCACTGAGCCAAACCGGCTTCGGCTTGAAGATACGTTTTTAAAGATGGCTTCCAAGGATGTTCTGAAAGAATTATTACACCACTTTTCTGGAAGCTGGAAGCCAAGTGTCTTGAACAAAGGAAGCCCTTTTTTGATTTGCATGAAGACTCTAAGGGTGAGCAGCAGCCTTCCTCTAGCTTCCACTGGTGCTAGCTGGATCCAACTCTAAGTTCCAGTCACAGTGACCCACTTCAGAGAGAAGTTGCTCAAAATGAGGATAAAGAGCAGCTTCAGAACTGCGACTAGTCATTCAAGGTCTCAGCAACATTTCCCAGGCCATTGCCAAGAGGTGAGAACACTCAGTAATAGCACATGAGATAAAATGCAGATAAAAAGCACTTGATTAGCCGTAAAGAATCCACACCCATTTTAGGAAGTGCTACGTAGTTGTGTCACAGTCCAACTGGAGCCAGACTTGGGCTCAGCTCTGTAAGCTGGGATGCATCACTTCACCTTTCTGGGCTTCCGTTGGATCAGTTGTAAAATGGAAATCAGGTGGCCCATTGCCTTTTAAGAATCAAATGCGGCCTTATCTGGTTGGCCTCAGTGGATAGAGCATTGGCCTGCGGACTGGGGGAGTCCTGGGTTTGATTCCAGTCAAGGGCATGTACCCAGGGTTGTGGGCCCGATCCCCAGTAGAGGGTGTGCAGGAGGCAGCAATCAATGATTCTGTCTCATCATTGGTATTTCTCTCTCTCTCCTCTAAGAACTGTCACTTCAGTGTAGCCCTGGCACTTTGGTCCACCTCACCCTGACTTAATTTTCTGCAGTGTCTTTATTGCTTTCCTAAGCTTTATTTCTTTGCTCACTTGTCTATTTTCTGTCTCTACCACCCAAATCTAAGCTTCATGCTCACCATTGTGGCCTAAAGCACAGGTGTCTAATAAACGTTTGCTAATGCTGAACAATGTTTATAAGGAGAATGAAGCCAGGTCAGCTCCTCCTAAGCTTACCAAGCCCCTCTCCCCGCCTCATCCTGCCTTGTCCCTTGCTCTTTCTTTCCACGTCTTCACGGGATGGCTTCTCTCTCTGTCCTCATTTCTCTCTTCTTCCTCTAGATGTCTTCCTAGGCTCTTTCTTGATTCCTTCGCTTGTCCTACAGAGAGCTTAAAATACCTCATTCTTTCTGATTTCGAGGTTAGGGCGAGTTTCTCATCTTCGGGAATCTCTGCTTGTCAGCTTGGGCCTTCTTCCCTTTGATGAGGGCGGAGGGAGGGAGCACACAGAGCCAGTGGAGGAGGTATAGGTGGGAGAAAGCTTTAGAAGAACAAAGAGCCTGCTGCCTCCAGAGGAAGTGAGATCCTCATCCCTGAGTCCTTGCATGGGGGCTGAGAAACTACTTCAAGATGCCCCCAGCTGTACCCTCTGGGGAGAGCCTCAGCCCCAGTTATTATTACAGACAAAGTTACAACCAGGCTTTTACAAATTTGCTATGCAAGGGCTTCAATACATTGGTTTGGTTTATGCCAACTTTTAACTGAACTAAAGAATTTGAATGGTATTTACTTTATAGTTTACAAGTCACTGGTCATTCAAGTCAGCAAATATTTAATAAGCTCTTACTATGTGCCAACAGTCATTCTAAGTGCTTTTTATATAATAATTTATTCATCATGCAGGTAATATAATTATCATCATCCCATTTTACAGATAAGGAACCTGGGATCAGGAATTGGGTTTTCTATAAAGCTCAGTGTCTTAGTCAGTTCGAGCTACAATAACAAAATACCACAGACTGGGTGGCTTATAAACAGCAGGGATTTATTGCTCCTAGTTCTGCAGGCTGAAAGTCCAAGATCAGGGTACCAGCATGGTCATGTGAGGGCCCTCTTCCTGGTCTCAGACTTCTTATGTCTGAACCTGGTGGAAGCGGCTAGGGAGTTTTCTGGAGCCTCTTTTTTCTAATCCCACTTATGAAGGCTCCACCCTCATGACCTAATCATCCCCAAAGGCCCTACCACCTAATAACCATTACCTTTGGGAATTAAGATTCAACATATGAATTTGGGTGAGGGGAGGGGCGGAGGGAGAAAGGAGGAACACACATTCAAGCCATAGCACTCAGAAAACTTAAGTTTTTAGGATTTCTTCTGTGCTCTTATTGCTAAAGGAGGCTCCAGCTCTGTGTTCACCGGTCATGTGTGCAAAGTTCTCAAAAGTACTAGTCACCTGCGTGCAGCTAAGGGGATCCAGTTTAGGGGGAGTGAAGTTGGGGAAACATTGAATTTGAGTTTACTGATATAAATGCATGTAGTTCAAAGTCAGCCGTCTTGGTGGAGAAGACGGCTTCCCTAAAGCTCATGGTTCTCACTCACCTGGATTGTGATTCAGAGATGCTGGTCCAGAGTTTGTATCACCATATGAATATGCTCCATGTCATCCAGCACAGGAAGTGTGCAGAAAGTGGAGGAAAATAGGCCTGGAATGTAAGGAGCCAGAAGCTATTCTGTAGGAAGTTTGTGTACCAATCAGACATGAAATTGTAAATGGAAGGTTTGCTTCTCGATGCTTCATTAACTCCTAGTCCAAACCAAAGTTCTGTCCTGGGGGAGTAGACTGAATAACACATATTATACAATAAAAAACACAGTACATGTTTTTTTTTTTTGGGTGGGTGGGGGGGAGAAGATCATGCAAAATGCAATGACCACATATCTGTGTTTGTAGGGCTGTACTACAAACTTATGGCGGTACTAAAAACAACAAATCATATACAAATCAAGATCTGTAACAGATCATATAAGAAAAAACTTGACGGAGGTTTTTCCAAATTTCACAATGGTGCTGAAATGTGTGTGTTTATACAAAGCATTTCCAAGTACATCTTGTGAAACGGAAACTTGCCTAAACAGTCTGTAGTAGTAAAAGCTTTATGCAATAGGCCATGCTAGAGGAAAGACTGAATTATCTTTTAATTCCCTATATACAAAACAACAGCATTCTCATCATAGGAAGGTGATCAATGAACTGTTGGGGGAAAGGATTATAAAGGTCTGTCAGACAGTTGATTAATAAAAATAAAAAAAATTTATGGCTCAGTTGATTGGCTACACCAAAAGATGGCAGGTTCGATTCCCTGTCAGGGCATATACCCAGGTTGCAATTTGATCACTGGTCCAAGTGCCCGAGATAGGCAACTCATCTATGTTTCTCTCTCGCTCTCTCTCTCTCTCTCTCTCCTCTAAAAATCAATTTTAAAAAATTATTGTGTTTTTCCCCCCTGGATTTTGTGATGTTTGTGGCATTTCTCAGCTTTCCATAATTCCTAACTTTTTATGACTCCTTTTTTTTTTTAAATTCTAAATCTCACCTTTTGTACCCACTTTTCTATTATTTTTCTTAAGGGACCCCAAAACTAAACTTTAGGCTCCACTTCTAAACTGTCTCTGTGTAGCTACCAGAACAGAATGGCTTCCTCTTACAAATACAAGTTCATACACAACGTGTTCTTTTTCTGCCCTTTTAACACAAACGGTAGCTTACAACAATCCCACTGCCAGCTGCAGCCATGCCAGCTGTGTAGCAGGACAAGGGGGCGGGGTGGGGCGTGAGGATGCTATTGCAATGGTCCCAGGGAAAGAGGGTGGTGGCTGGACACCCAGGTGCCAATGGCTTTGCTTCTCGTTTGAGGTGCAGGGAGCAATAGGGGTGTGGGAAGGCGACTGGATTTGGACTCAGTTCTACAGAGTCAGCGGGAGTTGCTCGCAATATGGAGGCCCAGCAAAAGAAAGGAAGACATGGAGGATGATTGAGGCAGCCATTCTGATTTTCCTTGGGAAGCTGTGACTTGGGGAGTCAGAATTCTGGGAAGACTACTGAGGGCAGACAGGAGAAGGGCTCTCACCGACTGGCTGGATGGTATTTGCTCTCCCAGTCCGAAGCCCTCGCAGGACCAGAGGCCTGGGGCCAGCGCCGGCCGCAGCCGGCCAGCCTTCCAGGGGGCCGGTTGCAGGCCTACACCTGCGCTCCCCCCAGCGCGCCCCACGTGCAGCCCCGCGGGCAGCCCCGTGTGCACGTTAGCCCTGCCTGCTGGCCTGGGGTGGCTGCTGAGCTGCTGCCAGCTCTAGAGGAGCAGTCACCTGCAGATGGGACGAAGGTGGGGGGTGGCGTGAGACTGGGGTGAAGAAGCCGGGAGCAGGGAGCTGGGAGCAGGGCCCCGGTCCCACCTCTGCAGCCCAGCCAGCTCAGTGACCTGTGCCAATGGCTTTGCTTCCGGTTGTGGGTGCATGAATGTATCCTTCCTGGAGGAGCCTGTGCAGGCATGTTGAGCTTTCCCAGGGCTAAGATGACAACAATGGTGATAATAAAACAGTAATAACAATCACGGCAAATGTTTACCAAGCGCTCACTCTGTGCCAGGAACTTTCTCATAGCACCCCTCCCTGCCTGCCCCCCCCCCCCCCCCCCCCCCCCCCCCCCCCCCAGCAATCTCATAATGTCAGCCCTTTTGCAGATGAGGAAATTAAGACAGGGAGCTGCTCATATGACTGTAATTACAGTGAATGGTGACACTGAGGGGGCTGTGGCTTAAGGAGGGCTTGCTGTTCTGACATACAGGATCATACGAACTCCTGCATCTCTCCTGTGAGGGGCTTTTACACACCCCCGATTTACAGCTGAAGACTGAATCTCAGATAAATAGTTACTCGCCCATGAAGACAGCTGGTCAAGGGACAGAGTTAGGACTCGAACCCATGATTGTCTGAACAGACTGTCAGCCATGATCACTCCTAGCCATTCGTGAAGGGGTCTTTTGCCTGTGAGTCCCTACCTCCTTGCCCGGACCTGTCCCTAAATTGGGTAGGGTACTACCTTGTTTCCCCGAAAATAAGACAGTGTCTTATATTAATTTTTTCTCCCAAAGTTGCGCTAGGTCTTATTTTCAAGGGATGTCTTATCTTTCCATGCGCTAGGTCTTATTTTCGGAGGATGTCTTATTTTCGGGGAAACACGGTAGTGGTCTCTGACCACAGGGTGCTTGTCCTGCTCCAACAATCTATGGGAGAAGTGGCTGCTTCACTCAAGGGCACCCACCTGGGCCCAGGAAAAGCTGGGCTGAAAGTGGGCCTCGGGACCCACCCACTTACCATACACTAGCTCCAGCCTGCTTCCTGCCTCTGGGTCAGGTGAAGAGCTCAGAAGAGCCACTGCTTGTACACGTCCTCCTCTTGTGCCCTTTAGGCTGGCCAGCTATCCAGAAGGCACCTGTGTGCCTTTCCTGCCAGGTGCCTGGTGGTCTTGCCATCTCCTCTGGATCCACCCAACATGCCCCTCGTGACTTCTGGAGGCCTGGACTGAGAGGCTCTTAGGGGATGCCTGGGGCACTTCTGAGGGGTGGTCTCCTTGCCCACTTGCCCAGAAGTCTCCCAGTCTTGGCCCCTGTGCATCCCCCAAACCCCTGCTTCACTCCTGGGTCATGCAGACCCCAGCCCAGAGAGCCCCTGGTGCTTGTCAGAGACCCGGGTCACCAGAATCCCATGGGGCAGGTAGGGTGGGGGCCGGGAAAGGTCACCCACAGCCGAGAGGCTGCGGCTGCCGTGTGCCACTTGGAAGCAGCTGGGTGTGGGCCTCCTGGCCTCCCCACGCCCGGAGAGGGCGGCGAGGCCCTGCAGAGCTGCCCATCCCTGTGTGCCTGACGTCAGCTCTGTGGCTCTCTCTCACCCTTTGTGCTGATCTGCTGGGACATGAATTGAAGATCAGCCAGGGGTCAGCTGTGGCCCTCGGGGACTGGCCTGGGACGTGCTGGCTGGGGTCGTCAGCATGTGGATGTCTTCCTGCTCTCCCTATGGCCTTGACCTCAGACACCTTTCTCTTTGTTGAAGGTTTGGCGTCTTCCTCATTTATAAGGGGTTGTGCCATGAATCCCCGAATGTGGAGGAGGCGGTGTGGTGAGAGGGCCTGGGCCAGGCGAGAAAGGCTCCTGGTGTTTAACCGCTCTGGCCATGTTCTGGGCACCCAGCTGCCAGGAGCAGAAATACCTGGAACTCAGACTCACACCTTCTGCCCGTGTTCTCCCTGCACTACCTGTCCCACCCCAGGGAAATAGCTCCCAGGCCTCAGAGGCCCCTTCTGTGTAACGCACACATGTGCCCTGTTGTGGGGGTTTCAGTTGACTTTATTTTTTATAGCAGTTTTAGGCTCACGGAAAAACTGAGAGGAAGGTACAGAGATTTCAATTACACCCCCTGCCCCCACACAATGCATTGGCTCTCCCAGCAGAGCGGCGCATTTGTTATATGATAGTGCCACGTAGTGTTCGCCCTAAAAATCCTCTGTGCACCACCTTTCTCTCTCTCTCTCTTAAAAAAACTTACTTTTCCATTTTGAGAATGGGAATGTCTTTATTGGGGTTTTTGCCAATTTAAAAATCATGCCTGGAAGTCCCCTGTGAATGGAAGCCTCCCTTTGCTGGGAGAACCGCTGCTAGGAGCTGGTGTGTTTCCCTCTTGTTTATGTCTTCAAAAATGTGCATTGCCTTGTGATTCTGAGGACCAATCACATCAGAAGTCACGAGAGCCAGTACCAGAAATGGGCACTGACTGAGGGCCTACTGTGTGCCTGACAGTACCTCACAGTACCCCTATGAGGCAGCCATGATTTGTATCCCCATTTCACAGCTGAGAAGACTAAGGCTCAGCGGTCCTAAGAATACTGAGTATCAGAGCTGGGATTTGAGCCCAACTCTCTCTGACTGGGCTAAGCTCTCTGCACTTCAAAAAGCAGAAAGCATCTCGGTGTGTGAGGAATTCTGCTCTTGCATCACAACCCTGGGGGTGGAGACAGCCACCAGCATGGGAAAGGCCTGAGGAAACAGCTTGTCTGGTGGCTGGACCCCCCACAGGTGGAGAGAGAGGCCATGGCAGCCCCCAGTGTGGCTCCTTCTCTTCTCAGGCACGGCTCCTAGAGGACCCTGGAGTCTGAGCCTTGGGGGAGGGAGTGATTGCCCCGTATCCTAAGCCCAGGTCCACAGGACACGTCCGCAGAAAACACCCCCCCGCTCAGAGGAATGTACTGCTACACTGTATGCACTCACACATGCACACCCTTCCCCTCATGACATCCGAAGCTCTCTCTGGTGCATTATCTCATCTCCGCTTCACATCAGGGCGGCCTCCTCCCGTCGCCCCTGCTGTGTACTGCACGACGGCAAGAGACGCCAGTCACATGGACCGGGATGTGATTGGCACACCCAGGAGTTGTCTAACATAGTGGCGCTGGCCCCTGCTTGCAGGAAGAGTGAGCCAGGGAGACTTGGCCCATTTTATAGTTGGTGGAAACTGATGCTCAGAGACAGCCAGTGACTGACTTCCCCGGGCGGGGGGGGGGGGGGGGGGGGGGGGGGGGGGGGGGGCAGGGGGGGAGTCACAGAGTGAGTCAGTGTTTGGAACTAAATCTGTGTCATCCTTTATCTCCCTTCCCCCAGGCATTGAAAAAATAATTATTTCATTCTTTGATTTACTTGAAAAACAAATCATTTTCAAACGTCTATCTTTCTATTTATTTCTAAAGAGGAGCCACCATGATATAAAAGCGTAAGGGTACAAAAGAGCACAAAGAAAAAGTTGCTCCCCCTCCACCCTTGACCCCAGGTAGCCATCCCTGACTCGCTGGCAGCCATGGCTGCTATTCCGCATACCCTTCCAGAGGCGGTCTGTACACTTTCCGCACAAATGGGCCTGGGTGATGCCGATCACAGCTTGCTGTTTTCACTGTACATGCCCTGCAATATATCCAAGCATTTTAGGTCGTTAGATTCTCTGTTTTGCTTTAAACAGAATTCTATTACCTGGAGGCCTTGGGACCCACTGGTGTTCACAGTGGGCGCTTCTGACCTTCTCTAGAACAAGCAGTGCTAGGCGAACTCCCTTGCGCATGTTTCATTTCACAAGTCTGGAAAACAAACAAACACACCTGACCCATACATTGTTCATTTTTAAAAATGGAAATATCTCATTTTTAAAAACAAACCTAAAGCATCATGAAAGGACTTAAAGGGTGGGGCAAACGTAGGTTTATTAGTTATTGTTTTATTTTCCAGGCAAACAACCGAACACCTACGTTTGCCCCACCCTGTACAGTAAAGTAAGGGAGAATGTCCACCCTGTCCACCATGCAGATGCTACTCCTTGGAAGTGATCGGTTTCACACTACTTCACAGCTGGCTTACGGGGCTTTCCGTCTGTGGTTGATTGCAACAATGGTCACAACCCTTCACACCTCCCTCTCGGTGCCCTTTCTCATGTGATTGAGCAGTTCCTCCCATCAGGAGGCAGAGTCTATCTCTCCCTGCCCTGACTCTGGACTTGGTCATGTGCCTTGGCTTTGTCATGTAGAATGTGGCAAAAGTGATGATATGCAAGGTCTGACCCCTAGACCTCATGAGACCTTGCGTGCTTCTGCTAACCCTTGCAGAGCCTTGCTGTCCGCTGTGAGTGAGCTGGGCTGGCCTGCTGAGGGTGAGAGGCTTGCAGAGCAGGGAGGAGTCAGCCAGTTGCACCAGCTGAGGCTCCAGAGAGCAGAGCCTAGCCAGGACCAGCAAAGCTGCCTCCCAGTCCAGCTGGCCATCGGGGCATGTAGGAGCCCAGCAGAGACCAGAGAACTGTCCCGATGAACCCAACCTAATTGCTGACCCTCAGAATCTCAGACTCATTAATAAATAAGTAGTTTTTTCTTTTTTTTTTTCTTTTTTTTTTTTTTTAAGCCATTGAGCTTGGAGGGTCTTTTATGCAGCTTTGTCAAGGTGATAGGTCACTGATGTAATGTATCATGGAGATATTTCCCTAACAGACATCTGGGTCAACTCCATCCTTTCTTCCACCATTTGCCCACCATCCAGAACTGAAATATCATTGCTGACATGTACACATAAGGAACTGTTTGACATTGAAATTGGGTCTCAAAAGAATTGGTGGCCCAAAAAGAAACTCACTATAGACTGATTCATATGCCTTTTAGCATAACGATTATTGCTTGTCTCATTTTTGATTCTTATATTTCCAGTAGGACATGATCTCACTCATCTAGGGGAAATGGTGAACAACATAGACTGAAGAACAAGAACAGACCCAGAGATAAGGAGCCATGGTCAGACTGTTGGACCTCAAAGGGAGGGTGGGGATAAAAGGGAGAGATCAACCAAAGGACTTGTGTGCATACATAGGAGCCTAACCAGTGGTCTAGGACAATAGGGGGGTGGGGACATGAGTGGGGATGGGGGATGGGGGATTGGAATGGGGGGTTGAGGACAAATATGTGATACCTTAATCAATAAAGAAATTAAAAACAAACAAACAAGAAAACCCAACTCCATCCTTTCTTATAGTTGCAAAGTATTTTATTTGTATGCCGTGATTTATTTTCCCAATGCCTTCTTGGTGGACTTTTGGGTCGTTTCTTTGTTTTGTGCCTCTGTCTCCTCATCTATAGAATGGGACTGATAACCCTGCTTTGAAGTTGATTTGTAAGAATTAGCACAGGCGAGTCAGTTATAATGGCCTATACTTAAAAAGTGCCTGGCGTGTGATTTTTCTCTTCCTCTTTCCTGTCAGTCAATTCCTACTCAGGTAGAAAAGGCAAATAGGTTAATCTCAATATCCATGTGTCTGGTAGGTGCTCCCCAGAGTTTGCACTGAGCAGGATTCAGAGGCCGTATCTGGGTCAGAGGGAAACAGTGCTTGGATTGACTAGTGATGCCTGCCATGGGCGTGAGGGAGGAGTGCTGAGAAGGGAATGTGTGTTTTCCTTCATTCTTATCTCCATCTAAGCCTAAGGGACCTTGCTCCTATTCATTCAGAGGATTCTGAGAGACCAGATGACTTTCAAGACCTGAGAGAAGAGCACTGGGAGGATTTGGATCCAATGGGCTGTGTGACCCTGGACAATGCCCTTTTCTTCCTGCACCTCAGTTTCCCTGTTTGTACAACGATCAAGTGGATGGTAGAGCTGGGATTCAAGCTGATTCCATGCTATCCCTCTGTGACTGGAGGGTGAACCCTCACTTGGTGATCGGGCCTGAGGTGGTTATGGCTGAAAGCCTGCCCTGCCCATGCTGTGTGTCCACAGACCTCCTGGTTATCCGAGAGATTCCCACTGTGGCCTCCCGGGGACATGTTAACCTGGGAGGCCACTTGCTGGGGATGGCAACAAGGTTGAAGATTCTCAGCAGGACTTGTCTCCTTCCTGTTTACATTCACCCCATGGGTTCCCTGCAAATTGCATGCTATGGGACTGACAGAAAATTAAGCTGTAAGCTCATGAATATATTCTGTGACAGAAACTGATGTGTTTAAAAAAAGCCAAGGTAATGAGACAGCGGTGGTGATGGGCAGAGGATGTCCAAGGAAGGCCCCTCGGGAGGGACGTGTGGGAAGACACTGGAGTGGTAATAAGGAGTGAGTCCTGCGGACAAAGGTGGGAGGCCTTCTGGGCAGCGGGTGGAGCACACGCAGAGGCGGAACTGTGGAGGGACAGCAGGAGGCAGGTGTGGCTGAAGCAGAGTGAGCGGGGGCTGTGGGGAGTGGGGAGGAAGAAAACAAAAGTTATCTCCTGCCACCTCATTCCC